ATTAATTCACATTTGACGATGGGGCTGCATCTTTACTATCTACTATCTATGGTAGCCGATAGTTGATCTGCTCTTGGTATTTCATCCTAATTTATATCATTTAAAAACAATGGATCTATTTCGGATCTTCCTTCTACAGTTTATTTGGAGGCATTTGTTTTTTTATGCACATCTGATTCAGGGGGTTTTGGGTGATGACGTGCTTGCCTCTTAACACGGTTTAGGTACGTTTTTTACCGCTCTGGATGTGCTTATTGGAACTAGACGAGGCTGAAATTGTACTCCATCTTGAATGTGAGTGACCTTTTGAGATGCATACCAGAAAGGAATTCTTAGAGAAGTAGTCATTCACTTCTTGGTGTACTCTTTTTCTACAGTAGTTTTTATAACTTTATTTCGTTTTGAGCTTTTTCTCACATGATCGACGTAGATTCGGCACATATTTTACTTATACCGAGTATACCAAAATGACTTAGGGTCTTGACGACGCTTTATTCAATTAACTGCCTATTAGCCAATTATTGTTCCTTCATTTTTTTTGTATTTTTGAATTAAGAGACATCCATTCTTTAGATACGAAATATTATAATGCTTGGCATATTTCTCAGTTCTCTCGAGCCATAGGTTTAATCGGTTTTTATTCGATAGTAAATTTTATGGTTAATTATTTTCACAATAATAAACGCTTTAATCTTGAATTATTGGAAAATATTAAATATATTTAACTTTTTATATGGTCTGTGTGTTAAGATATCTTATACAAATTCTGCCCATTCTGTGCTATTCAGCCAAACTCAATCGGAAATGCTGTATGGATTGAGGCTTAAGGCTAGAAGGGTGAAAGGCCCAGTCATTACATTGCTTTGATAGTTGTATTACTATTACTACACTTTTAGTCGCCGATAATTTCACATAAATAATTTATTTCTCTGATAACTAGGTTAATTTTAATTTTTGCCTTGCCTGTTTTATTATTGTTTGTTTGCGTGCCGTAGTTCGAAGAGGCGTTTTGCAGACTACTTTAGTTGAGTGCGATTGTCCTTGTTCCCCTTGTTCCAACTTGAGCGCTGATGTATTGAGCAGATCATAGACCGATTTCGCCAAACCCGTGCTGAACTTTTGTCAGTCGTGTAACAAGCAGCTTTATGAAGGGATTTTTCTTAGATCCCCTAGATTTATAAGTTAACGAAATGATTACTAGGTGTTGATAAGACTTAGGCGATGTCGAAACTACAGTCCACCCTTGATGAGAATAACCTTTGGGAAAACAAGGCTATGTGAAAGATAATGGAAATGTCAGCTCTTCTCATATTATTGTGGGAAATTTCGACTACCAGCCCTTCATCATATTAAACGAAATAGAGTGAATAGATCTAATAGATAAGCCATATTTCTCCATATTATCCTGGTCCCCTTTAGAGTTAAACCTGAATATCCTTGTGGGCCGGAATATTGTTACATATTTATACTATATCAAGGCTCAGTATAGAGACTTTACCAGTAATTGTTTGATTATCCACTTATTTCATGAAGTCCTTCGAGTTTTCAACCGCGCATAGCTAATATTCACTTTCATCATTGTCTGCAAAAGAACCTTATAACTTGATGTATCACTTTTTCTTAAGGGGATTCCTTCGTAGTAATCTTTAAGAGTGCTATAATCTGTGGGCCACCTTTTATTTTTATGAATAAATGCAGTAATTTTCACTTGCTAAACTCTTCTTCTCTAAAGCATACAGTAAAACCATCCTTATGGTCTTTTTTATGGACTTTTTTTGGGTCCTTTTCTTACCATGAGTACAAACTAATATATTTTAAATGTTCTGAAATCTGCATGCAAATTAATCTTTGCATAACTAATATTTTTTCATCTTTATTCCTCTTCAATATTAAATATTTATAAATCCTATCTAAAGCACATGCCTTATGAGGTATCGTTACACAGTTAAAAATTAGACATCCCTCCATCCTATCTCATACTTTTCCTCTTTTTGACCTCTTTTTGCTCGCCTCTTCTCCCAATAGGCTTATTGCGACACCGTAGTTATCTCTTAAATAGAAGTTCTATTCATTATAGGTCACATGAAGTGATGAAGAATTGAAAGTCAAATTTTCCTATGATCATGTGAATAGGCTTCATGCTAACATTTAGTTCAGCCTTGCTTTCCAAAAGGTACTCTTATCTAGGGTTTACTGCAGTTTTTTACCTCGTCTGAGTCTTATCAGTATCTATTATTTTGTACATATTATATTCTGCGTAAGCAAGCCTATCAGGTGTAGCTCTCCTATAGATACTTATTGGCTTCGATGACCGTATTTATGTTAACTCGTTATTGTTTATTCTTTGTAAAACTAATGATATTTGTCCTTTATTTCGCTTTACCTTATTAGGGTTCTCTTCCATTTTCTATACAATTACGTACATATATGTACTTAAATGTATGTGTACTTCAAATGGTCATCTCCAATCCTCAATTTGGTGTCGAAACAATTCTTTACACATACCACATAACATTATAACTCCAGTAACTGTTAAATTTGCTCTTCATTGTAATCTTTTTCAGATGTTATTTGGCTATTTAAAGCGTAAATGTATATCATTCTTACCGAGCATAGATTATCTTTATATGAAGGGTATTCATTCTAATTTGTTTGAGATGATGAAAGACTGTTAGTTGAATTTTCTCAATGCTATGGATAAGCCTAACGTTTCCATTGAATTTCACATGGCCTTGCTTCCCAAGACTGGATTTGACTGCAGTTTTGACCTCGCCTCGGTCTCTACAGTATCGCTGGCGGGACTCGAATCTGAGTAGTGCAGTGCATAGTCCCGACACGTTAGCCACTACGCCAGACTGCCACGAATGCTCTTATGGCACAGGGAAGGAGTTAATTTTAATGGGTGCCAGGCCCTTTCCATATTACATTTATGTGTCGGGATTGTCAATAAAACAAAATTGTATTTGCTATTACAATAGACTAAATTTAATATTTTATTTTTTAAGTTCCTTAATCATCTTAAATTAATTAGGGTCAATACCCTTCATACATATCATTTACTGGTGGCCTCAGAACCTACTTATAAACGAAACAGAGCTATTTTTGCTTTTTTTTTATTCTTTCACCTGGTGCAGATCACCCGTCTACCGTTACTTTCTGTGCGGCCTTTTTTTTTTCACGACCTGGTGATCGAGCAAGAATTGTCCGTTACCTCATGTTCCCCAGAGGCCCAGGATCGATTGGAAAAATTCTGCTCTCATAAGATTGAGTTGGCCATCGAGGCTGCCAGCGCGGTTATAAGCCGAGCCCGAGAACAGGAGGAAAAACGCCTTCGTGAGGAGACAGAGAATGGAAATAGGAGATGTAAATTTTCCGTCGTCAGGAGCGACTTTCGGTCCATGATCGAAAAAAAGCACTTTCTTCCTCCTTCAGAACCTCTGGTCCGCCTACGGGTGGACATTAGTGGGGGATTTGATTCGTTCAGCTCTTTACGCTTTGGTCAAAAATTTGTCGGAAAAGTGGCCAACCCAAAGGTGAGCTAGCTGCGGCTTTACTAGTTCGACTGTCCTACCTTTTTTTGTTTTTAACTGTTTGATGTTTAGACCACGAATCAGCTAAACCCTTAAAGTAAATGGGTATATGGAGAATCATCTTCTCTGAAGGTATGAAGACCATGACGGTGTGGCCTTCTGCATGATCGCGGTCTCCTTTCGTTGTATAGAAGTTGTTTGACCTTGTTTTCGCAATTTGCTTATATTGTCAGAAAGACCTAGAGGAACGCAATTTACCCTGAGTCCATAGTATGCACAATAATTTCCAGAGTTGGACGGTGGACTTGCTACATTCCCAGACGTTTCGCCAGCATCGTCAGGGAGTCTGCCATTCTTAGCACCACACTACAACTCGTAAAAAAGATTATTG